ACACACCTACATCTATCATGAAGATAGAGAGATTAAGATCAGAGATTCACTGAGATATAAGAGAAACATCTTGTCTGAATTTCACAGCTTTATCTGTACTCTTGAATGAAAATTCTGCCTTAACCTGAGTCAGTATAATACTCATGAGATATGAGTAATATACACTGTCAACCTTCTTGAAGGCATCTCTGCAACTACTTGAGTTATTAAGAAGAGAGAGCTTGAGTGTATCAATGCTGTCATGACTTGAGAAGAATTCAAGAACTTTCTACTGAATCAAATCAAAGATTATCATAATCACAGCTTCACAGCAGTGCAGCAGTTCAACTTATTACATCAATAAGATGATAAAAATTCTTCTGATTTCAACACAAGATTCAAAGAATATTGAGAGGAATTGACTGATGATTTGAATCAATTAAAAACACAGCTTTATCTCACAAAGCTGACTCACAAAGTGTGAATAATAATATCACAGTATCAGAGTTCATTAATCAATTACACTGAGCTTATCAATCTGGCTTTCTGAATCTATTTGAATAATCAATTCTCTGAGAAAAAGACTAATAAGATCTCTTCTAAGCAATCAATGACAGGATCTAAACAGCATCATAACAGCTTTAGTGCAGAGAAAGTAAAGAAGAATTTCAAGTATTCTGATTCTTCACTCACTGTGAAGAAATATTAAAAAAGATTTGATAAAGATCTCTGTTTCAACTGCAGAGCTGGTGATCACTATATCAGTGATTGCAAGAAGCTGAAGAAGAGAAGAAACTGAGAAGATATCTTCTTGAAGTCAACTTCTCTTCTGACAAATGTATTTATAGAAGATAAAGAAGAGAAAGAAAAGGATTGATAATTCTCACATTTTCAAGTTTATGTTACAATCACAATGTATACTCTGAATGAGAAGATATCAGTGAGATGTCTACTCAACTCTGAGATAAATACTAACTTCATATTCTATTCCTTTTCTTTGATGAAGGATTGAAAGAAGATAGACTCATCAGATCATGTGAAATTTACAGATGAAATGAAATGTCACTGTTTTGACATAATTTAAGTAAAGTGTGTGATCACAGACTCAGAAGAAATCTTCAAGAAGAGCAGTCTGCTTCTTCACACAGTCAACATCATAGATGAGAACATCATTCTAGGTCTTCTGTGATTGAGAGAAAACAATTCTCTTATTGACTGAGTCACTCAGGTGTGATGATATTATCTCACTGATGAAGAGACAGTGATAGAGAAATCTGAAGAGTTTCATTGAAAGAATCTTGAGAAAAAGATTGAGTTGATATACTGTATAGCAGGTGATTGAGACTTGAGAATAGATGAAGAAGCTATCACTCTCACTGTAAGATTAGCAGTAGTATCTGTTATTGAAGATGAATGTACATGATATCTCTTTACAGATTTTAAGAATGTCTTTTCAGAAAAGAAAGCAGTGAAGTTTTCTGATATCAAGATATGACATAAGATTCATCTTGAAGATGATGCAACAGTGCTATACAGGCCTCTTTACAACTTATCTGTAAAGGAGTTGAATGTTCTGTGCAAATATCTTGAAGAAGCATAATCAAAGAACTGGATACATTCATCAAAGAGTCTGACAGGGGTGTCTATACTCTTTGTGTCTAAGAAGAATAATAGACTATGTCTATGCATAGACTACAGAGGCCTCAATAAGATGACAGTTAAGAATCACTATTCATTATCATTAATTAACAAGATGATTGATTGATTATCTGAAGCAAAGATGTTCTCAAAGATTGATATACAGAATGTCTATCATAGAATCAGAGTTAACAAAGATAATGTTTGAAAAACAGCTTTTCATATCAAGTACAGTAATTTTGAATATCTTGTTTTGCCTTTTGATCTTTGTAACACTTCAGCCATCTTCCAGATCTATATAAATAAGGTGCTGTGAGGCCTTGTCAACATCTTCTGTATAGTATACCTGGACAACATTTTAATCTTCTTAAAATCAGAGAAAGAACATGATACCCATGTTCAAGAAGTGTTGAGTTGCTTGAGACAGCATCAACTCTATATAAACACTGAAAAATGCTCATTCTACATGCAGGAGATTGATTTCTTAGATTATATTGTTGAGATGAATGGCATTTCAATGGACAGGAGCTGAGTCTCCACCATTGAGGACTGGCCAGCGCCGCGGATGTACTGTGAGATGCAGATGTTTCTAGAATTTGCAAATTTCTACAGATGATTCATCTATACATATTCATGAATTACTGTCTCTCTTACAGATCTGTTGAAGAGAAGTGTAAAAGACAGAAAAACAGAACTGTTTATTCTCACTCAAGGCACTGTGCAGGTGTTTGCAGAATTGAAACAAGCTTTCACAGATGTCACAATGCTGAATCATTTTAATTCTGACTTACTCAGTCAGTGTGAGACTGATGCATCTGAGAATGAGATCTATGAAATCTTTTCACAGTTGACACTGAAGACCTTTCAACATTGAAAGAATCAGAGAATAATCATCTCTGAGAAAACAGATAATGAATTGTCTGTGAGAGAAGACTTTTTCACAGAGTCTACAAGATACTGCAAATAAAGATCAGTGATCTTCTTCTTCAAGAAGTTATCACTCATGCAGAGAAGGTATGATATCCATGATCAGAAGATGTTAGCAATTGTCAAATTCTTTAAGATCTGATGACATTATCTTCAGAGTAGTAAGTACTCAGTGCAAGTTCTCACTGATCATGCAAATCTGCATTACTTCTTGACAACAAAGAGCTTGACAGAATGTCAAGCCAGGTGAGCAGAGCTGCTTTCAGAGTATGATTTCTATATCTGATACTGTTCAGGTCAGCTTAACCTCATCAATACACTGTCTAGATGGCTCAATTATAATATCATTGATGTGAAGAAGAATTCTATAAAAGAATCTCTGTCATCACTGCAGAAGAAGCTGGCTGCAGAAGGTTGAGATTCTCTAAAGCTCAGAAACAGTGCCGGAGAGGCAGCTGTGTAACTTAGTATAGAAGGTGAAAGAGAATTCAGGTCTCTGCAGAGAACTGACACTGAAGATCATGAGCTTCTTATATCACATCTTACAATCATTGAATTGATAAAGAATAAAACAGTCTACAACCTTCTAATCTGACTACTTTTGAAATTCATTGATAAGTTACAGAAGGGGGACATCTCTACTGCAGCTTAAATTCAAAAGTTGAAGAAGAAAGAATTCAGTTTGAACTTGAAAGAGACAGACCCTGAACAGGGCAGTACTGCTAAGAAATCAAGTCACTGATAACTAGAAGAATGTGAACTTCTACTGCTGAATAATTCAGTCTTCATCTCTTGTAGCAGAGCAGTGTGTCAGAAGTTATTGAGAATTCATTATAATGATCTCCATGCGGGGCACTTCAGGTTAGAGAAGACTGAGAAGCTTTTAAAACATAAATACACTTGAGACAAGCTTCAGACAGATGTCAAAGAGTATATTAAAACTTACAATATCTGTTAAAGAATAAAGATTCTGCAGCATAAGTAATACAGTGAGTTGATATCACTGCCTGTTTCAAAGAATCTATGACAGAATCTATCAATGAATTTCATAGTTAATCTGCCAAAGTTGATAAGAGTCAAAGAATATGACTCAATTTTAGTCATTGTTAATCATTTCACAAAGATGATTAGATATATCTCTACTTACAAAAAGATTAAAGCCTCTGAATTGACTGACCTGTTTTTAGATATCATCATTCATGATCACAGTGTTTTGAAATTGTTAATAACAGATCAAGAATCCCTCTTCATCAGCAAATACTGATCAGCTTTTTGCTATCATCTTATAATAAGGTATCTTCTCAGTATCACATTTCATCTGCAGACTGATGGCTAGACTGAACACTAGAATCAGACACTAGAACAGCATCTTTGAGTGTTCTGTTCATATTATCAGAATAATTGGCTTAAACATCTTCTAATCATCAAATTCATATATAACAATGCAAAGAATGCAATCTTAAAGGTATCTTCTTTCTATGCTTGTTATGAATATAATTCTTCATTACTCAGTGACATCATGGATGATGTTTCAAAGAGAGAAATAGACAGTCAGAATGTCAGACAGATACAGAGAATGAAGTATCTCTCAGTATCAGAAGTAAAAGTGAGATTGAAACTTTTGAACAAAATTCATGAGAAGACAGTAAAAAGCATTCATCACACTCAGAAGCAGTAGATGAAATACTATAATTGAAAACATCTTCTGATAAAGTTCTTAATAGAGAATCAAGTGCTACTTTCAGCAAAGAATATCAAGACAATGAGATTATATAAGAAGCTCAGTGAGCAGTGACTAGAACCTTTCTCAGTAACAAGAGTAGTGAGTAAGCAGACATATGAGTTAAAATTACTCACAGAATTGAAATCAATTCATTCTGTTTTTCACATTTTCTATTTGAAGCTCTATAAGCAATGTTCTAAGACAGAGCTATCTCAACTGAATGATATCAAGATTGAGAGTGATACTGAATATCTTGTGAAGAAAATATTGAATAAGTGAACACATTACAGCAAGCTTCAATATCTTATCAAATGAGAAGAATATTCATTGTTAGAGAATTTGTGAGAATCACTTGAGCATTTGAAAAATGCTGAGAAAGAGATTGTAAGCTATGAAGCAGCTAGTAGAGACTGCTCTGTTACACATCAGAGACATTGAACAAGAAATACTGCTTAAAGACTTCTTATTTTTCTCAAAGGATTTTTTAGAGATAATCTTGCAGTGATGAGCTAGTGTCTTGTAGGCTTTGTAGCACTCTTCTTCTATTTTCTCTTAAAGAGTTTTTTAGAAGTTTAATGAGACTACACAAGTGTAAAATTCCTGAAGCAGTTAATAAGAAAAGAAAGGAATATTTGAAATCAATAAAAAGATTAATATTAATTAACTCATAGATCACTGCTAATCTAATAGAGCTGCAGTCTGCTGAAAAAGTAAAAAGAGAGAATCTCAGAGTCTACTCATCAATAATTACATCTTTATCAAACTCATTCTTCACTGTTGAAGTCTTCAGTACTGATATCTTTATCTGCTGAGAAGTTAGTACTGCAGTACTGCAGAAGAGCAGAAGAAATACATGAAATATCAACTTATTAACTTACAAAGCATCTCAGTTATCTGCTTCAATTAAAGTAAGATTCTCTTCAATCAGCAATTGATCTCTGCAGTGCTTTCAACAGTGATATCAGCTAATCTCTTCTTGAGATCAGTCATTCTGAGATGTTTTTTCACCTCAGAGATTCATGCTTTTATCTTCTTTTACAGATGAGTAAGAGAGACCTTCTCAGTCTTAATAGAATCTGTCAATACTTAAAGCTCTGAGACTCTCACTCTGTACTACTTGAGTATCTAGACTTCTTATCAGAACTGACACAACATCTTCCTGTGAGATAATACTTACAGAGAGACAGGAGTTATTATTACAGATATAATGAAAACAACAGAAGTGAAAGAAGAGATGAGTGTATAAAATCCTCTTCTTCTTCAGCTGCTTGATACAGTGTAGACAAGTAGCAGTGTCAGCCAGAGATCACACTGAAGCCTCTTCACAGAGAGAAGATGAAGAAACTATGGAATTCTGCAGACTCAACTCAGCAGCATTCTGAGCAGGGCTCAGGTGTGCTGCAGAAGAGAAACTACAGATTAAGCTTCTTAAAGTCACTATCTCTGAAATCAAGCTCTCCCCAGGTTTCTCTCTGAATGATCACACAGAGTCATACATTACTGTATTGACTGAGAGAGGGGACAGCATTGCAACAGCGGTGAGGAGGGCAGAGAATAGACTGGATGCAGACATACCAGCCAGCAGAAGAGATGACATCTCACTGCAGGGCACAGCAACTTCCATCACAGCTGCAAGAGAAGCAGAAGAAGATGTGACAATGAGAGCAGTGCTCCCGCGGCTCATTGACATCACCACCTTCAACCTGGCTTTCTTGACAGTCACAGAGGCCATCACTGCACTATGAAGACATTTGTTACTCACTAGAAAACATCAGAATAAGTTCTTGATTATTCTTCAAGAATGATACTCTCATACACTCACTGTTGTGATTGAGAGAGAAGAAAAGAAAAATGTTTCATAGAGAAGAAGATCTTTTCAAAAAATCCTGTCACTACTGTTAGCTTTGTCTCTAAAAACACACCACTTTTGCAGAGAATTTCATATATAGAATGAAATATATTGAAAGATCTGTAAGCTACTTATTAATTACATTTTTCATCTTTCAAATTGATATATAAGGAACTCACTTACAACATGTTTAATTTGAATGAAGATGAAAAAAGAAAGATCTACACAGTTAGTAGAAAAACTCATCTATTTCTTTATATCATGCATAGCATATGTGCTGTCAATCAGTTGACAACTGTTGCTATACAACAAAGATAATTTCTAATCTGATAATCTTGAGAGCATAGAGACTATGCTCTTAAAGAGAAGAGCATTGTCACACTCCTGACTGTGTCAAGGCCTCACTGCAGTTTCATACAGCTCATTACTTTTATACAGATGATTTCATTCATTCTGCAGACTGTCTGAATCAGTTTTCAACTGCTCTATGACATTATTCAGATATATTATAGAAAGATCTGATTAATAAATATGAGAATCTCACTTCTATACAAGATCAGCAGATTACTCTTTCTTGACAATGAGACACTGCTGAGATATCACTTCAGCTATTCTCACTCATGAAATGAGAGGAGGGTATCTGCTCATTGTCTATATAGAATAGCTAGATGCTGGCTTCTCATTAAAGAAGTCAGTGATTCATTTCTTTCCTTCTACAGGAATAATATACACAAGAGTTACTGCATGCCTCATACAATTTTCTTAGTATACTAAGTATCATATCTGTGATATTCTTGCAATAACCCTGTAGCCTACGAGCTCGCTATTCAAGCAAGATAGTCAAGCCCACTTATACAGCTTCTCAAACAACTACCTCTACGTGACGCCGCCGACTAGCCACCGCTTCGGTTCCGCCACGTTACAAACACTGAGAGTTAACACTCTGAGAATCTCTGTGAGAATTCTTGAAAAGAGTATCTATAATCTGAAGAGTTTACAGACTTTAAGAAGTGCTGTAGAAGATCTGATGTAAGAGAAAACAGAGTATAAGTCTTTATAAAATCTTCTATTCAGATTATCTAAACTGCAATAGAAGAATGAATATACTCAGTATATTTAAAAACTACTCACAGCAGAGATTAACTCTGCAGAAATAAAGAATTGAAGAGACTTAAATAATCTCTTATAAAGAGAGAACTGAATTTATATATCTATAAATGAGTTTCTATGTATAGAACTTATTAAAAGGTATTATAACTCTTCTCTAATAAGTTATTTTACAGATACTAGAACTTATGAGTTGCTTGTAAGAAAATACTTCTAACTGAAGATATGAGAACTTATAAAGAAGATAGTGAATTCTTATACTATTTATCAGAATTCATAAGTAGTGCAGTTCAGATTATATGAAGAATTTACTTCTCTACTCATTCTACAGAAATCTTGAGAATAGTTAGAAATGAATACTCTTATAAGTCTCTCTGAAAGTAAGAACATATATAATACCTGCTTTGACAGTGTGCTGATGATAGTGAATTACTTTATCAAGATAACACACTTTATACTCACTTATAAGAACTTGAAGTCAAAGAATTTGACTTATATCTTTGTTCATAATGTGATCTGATTGTATAAGTTGTCTGTAAATATTATCTCAGACAGAGAATCAATCTTCATAGAAGAGTTCTGATCTGATCTGATAATTATACTGAAGATTTCATGAAATCTAAGTATGACTTTTCATCAACAGACAGATAATCAGATAGAATGTCTGATAAGTATATTAAAACAGTATCTGTAATACTTTGTTAATTACAATCAGAATGACTGAGTGTATTAATTATCACTTATAAAGTTTATATATAAGAACTTAAAGTATATTAGCACAGATAAAACTCTCTTTGAGATACTTACTGAGACTTATTCACAGATAATCTTGATGAACTTATAAGAGTATACTATAGAGTGTAATAATGTCTGTGAATGAACTGAGAGAATTCAGAAGATTCAGAAGAAAGCTCATGAATTCTTAAAAAAGACTCAAGAGTATTAGAAGAGATACTATGACTTTAAGTATATTATAAAGAGTTTTAAGAAAGATGATAGAGTCTGACTGAGTCTAGAAAATATTATTATACAGAGATCTAGTAAGAAGCTGAATCTCTTATAAACAGAGTCTTATAAGATTGTAAAGAAAGTTAACTCATAGATTTACAGATTAAAACTATTATCTGAGTTATAGATATATAATATTTTTTATGTCTCTTTACTCTGTGAATATAAGAAATTCTTAGAAAAGAACTCTGTGACTTATCACTCTATCTGTGAAGTACTAGAGAGTGAAAGAGAATATCAGATCAAAGAGATTATTAACTCAGAGAAGTGAGATTATAAACTCTGATTCAAGATTCAGTGATAAGAGTATTCTGATAAGATGAATAAGTTCACTTAAGAATTATCTAGATAGATAAGATATCTGTAGAAGCTGAGATATGACTTTTATACTATAAATTCTAATAAGTTAGAATAATATAATCTTTACTAAGAATCTGATTATAATAAAGATATTAACACTATCATTTATAAACTCTAGTCTATAAGATAATAAGTTTCTACTGAGATGAACAGTCTGCAGTGTATATAAGAAAAGAAGAAATTATATTCTTATTAAAGTTAAAAAACAGAAAATAAACAGAGCTGTAAACATAATTTAGAGACTAATAAAGAAAAAATAAAGAAAATTCACACTTATATTCTTAATATCTGTGACACTTAACTCTCTTATAACTATTAATTTCTCTCTTTAAAGAAACAGAGAGTATTATATCTGTGATACAGATAATTATTGTATTTGATATGAAAATTATCAGAAATACACAGACTTCAGAGAAGTTAGATATCAGAGTATATATAGTTATAGCAGAGTCTTGAGAGCTGACTGTCTGTATATGTGATTAGATATCTCTTATAAAACTGTGTTCACTTCTCTAGTTATACTGAAGTATTCAGTCTGAAAACAATTGAGATATAGAGAGAAGACTTATCTATTCAGACTAACTTCTATCACAAATTCATAGCATTCATATTGTCTTGATTATCTGAATTTTACAGGTATCTGAAAACTCATCTCTCATTAACAATGAAATTGTAGAAATGTGCTGCAGTGTGAGAATCATTGATAGAGAATCTAGACATATTTGCATATGCCTGGTCAGAGATTGTGCAGGCAGAGAGAAGGTAATTATAGACTTACAGAGCTGCAGAAGACACTGACAACACTGAGAGCTTTACAAGAACTGTCAGCTAGAATCTGTAAGAAATTACTTATGAGAAGACTTACAGCAAAGAAGAGGACTGCACTGCTTGAAGTCAGAAACTGGTCTGAGAAAGGCATGAAGTGAGCTGCTGGTCTGAAGATCGGGTGCAGTTGTCACGCTCCCGGCCGCGCCAAGGCCCCGTTGCGGTTTCACACGGCCCATCGCTTCCATGCGGATGATTCCATCCATCCCGCAGGCCGTCCGAACCGGTTTCCAACCACTCTATGACATCATTCGGATGTATCATAGGAAGATCCGATTGATGGATATGAGAACCCCGCTTCTATACAAGGTCAGCAGATTACTCTTCCTTAGTAATAAGGTGCTGCTGAGGTATCACTCCAGCTATTCTCACTCATGAAATAAGAGAAGAGTATCTGTCTATTGTCTATATAGAATAGCTAGATACTGACTTCTTATTAAAGAAGTCAGTGATTTGTTTTTCTTCTACTGAAATATATACAAGAGTTACTGTGTGTCTTATACAATCTTCTTAGTATACTAAGTATTATATCTGTGATATTCTCACAATAACTCTGTAGTCTACAAGCTCACTATTTAAGTAAGATAGTTAAGCTTACTTATACAGCTTCTCAATAACTATCTCTATATAATACTGCTGACTAGTCACTGCTTCAGTTCTGTATATTATAATTTAAATCACTCAATCTGATTACAAGTTTGCATCAGTTAAGCTCTATTAATAAATTAATATAATCTTATATATCTGTGCTGAGATCAATCTGATCTCACTCTCTGAGAGAAACTCTATATTATTCTCTAGAGTGTGTACATCTCTATTCTGACAGAAATCTGAGATTTCTGAACTCACTGTATATTTTAGTATGAGCTCTTCAATTACTCTGTCACTGCTGCAGTCTCTACACATCTACATCTATTATAAAAATAGAGAGATTAAGATTGAAGATTCTTCAAGATATAAGAAAAACATCTTGTCTGAATTTCACAGCTTTATATATACTCTTGAATGAAAATTTCATCTTAATTTAAGTCAGTATAATACTTATAAGATATAAGTAATATATACTGTCAACCTTCTTGAAGATATCTCTGCAATTACTTGAGTTATTAAGAAGAGAGAGCTTGAGTGTATCAATACTGTTATAACTTAGAAAGAATTTAAGAACTTTTTACTAAATTAAATCAAAAATCACTGTAACTGCAGCTTCACAGCAGTACAGTAGTTTAACTTATTATATTAATAAGATAATAAGAATTCTTTCAATTTCAATACAAGATTTGAAGAATATTGAGAGAAATTAACTAATGATTTGAATCAATTAAAAACACAGCTTTATCTCATGAAGCTGACTTATAAGATGCAGATAATAATATTATAATATCAGAGTCTATTAATCAATTGCACTGAGCTTATCAATCTGACTTCTCAGATCTATTTAAATAATCAATTCTCTAAGAAAAAGATTAATAAGATCTCTTCTAAGTAATTAATAATAGAATTTAAACAGTGTTATAACAGCTTCAGTGTAGAGAAAGTAAAGAAGAATTTCAAGTATTCTGATTCTTCACTTACTGTAAAGAAATATTAAAAAAGATTTGATAAACATCTCTATTTTAACTGTGAAGCTGATAATCACTATATCAGTGATTGTAAGAAGCTGAAGAAGAAAAGAAACTGAGAAGATATCTTCTCAAAGTCAACTTCTCTTCTAACAAACATATTCATAGAAGATAAAGAAGAGAAAGAAAAGAATTAATAATTTTCATATCTCTGAGTTTATATTACAATCACAATATATACTCTGAATAAGAAGATATTAGTGAGATGTTTACTTGACTTCAGAGTAGATACTAACTTCATATTCTATTTCTTTTCTTTGATAAAGAGTTGAAAGAAGATAAATTCATCAGATCATGTAAAATTTACAGATGAAATAAAATATCATTATTTTAATATAATTTAAGCAAAGTATGTGATTACAGACTTAGAAGAAATCTTTAAGAAAAGTAGTCTGCTTCTTCATACAGTTAACATTATAGATGAGAACATCATTCTAGATCTTCTATAATTGAGAGAAAACAATTCTCTCATTGACTGAGTTACTCAGATATGACAGTATTATCTCACTGATTAAGAGATAGTAATAGAGAAATCTGAAGAGTTTCATCAGAAGAATCTTGAGAAAAAGATTGAGTTAATATACTGTATAGCAGGTGATTGAAACTTGAAGATAGATGAAGAAGTCATCACTCTTACTGTAAGATTAGCAGTAGTATTCATTATTAAAGACAGATATATACAATGTCTCTTTACAGATTTTAAGAATGTCTTTTCAGAAAGAGAAGTAGTGAAGTTTTCTGATATCAAGATATGATATAAGATTTATCTTGAAGATGATGTAACAGCACTGTACAGGTCTCTTTATAACTTGTCTATAAAGAAATTGAATGTTCTGCATAAATATCTTAAAGAAGTACAATCAAAGAACTGAATATATTTATCAAAGAGTTCAGCAGAGATATCTATACTCTTTGTATTCAAGAAGAATAATAGACTACATTTATACATAGACTACAGAGATCTTAATAAGATGACAGTTAAGAATCACTATTCATTATCATTGATTGATGAGATGATTGATTGATTATCTGAAGTAAAGATGTTCTCAAAGATTGATATATAGAATGTCTATTATAGAATCAGAGTTAATGAAGATAATATTTGAAAAACAGCTTTTCATATCAAGTACAGTAATTTTGAATATCTTGTTTTATCTTTTAATCTTTGTAACACTTCAGTCATCTTTCAGATCTATATAAATAAGACACTGTGAGACCTTGTTAATATCTTCTGCATAGTATATCTGAACAACATTTTAATCTTCTTGAAATCAGAGAAAGAACATGATACTCATGTTTGAAAAGTATTGAGTCACTTAAGACAGTATCAACTCTATATAAACACTGAAAAATGCTCATTCTACATGCAGAAGATTGATTTCTTAGATTATATTATTAAGATGAATGACATTTCAATGAATAGAAGCTGAATCTCTGTCATTGAGAACTGATCAGCACTGCAGATGTATCATAAGATGCAGATATTTCTAGAATTTGTAAATTTCTATAGATAATTCATCTATACATATTCACAGATTACTGTCTCTCTTACAGATCTATTGAAGAGAAGTGTGAAAGATAGAAAAATAAGACTGTTTATTCTCATTCAAGACACTGCACAGGTGTTTATAGAATTGAAACAAGCTTTCATAGATGTTATAATACTGAATCATTTTAATTCTGACATATTCAGTCAGTGTGAGACTGATATATCTGAGAATGAGATCTGTGAAATCTTTTCACAGTTGACACTGAAGATCTTTCAATGTTGAAAGAATCAGAGAATAATTATTTCTAAGAAAATAGATAATAAATTATCTGTGAGAGAAGACTTTTTTATGAAGTCTATAAGACACTGTGAATGAAGATCAGTGATCTTCTTCTTCAAGAAGTTATCACTCACACAGAGAAGATATGATACTCATGATTAGAAGATATTAGTAATTATTGAATTCTTTAAAATCTGATGACATTATCTTCAGAGTAGTAAGTACTCAGTGTAAGTTCTTACTAATTATACAAATCTATGTTACTTCTTAACAATAAAGAGCTTGACAGAACATCAAGTCAGGTGAGCAGAGCTGCTTTCAGAGTATGATTTCTATATCTGATACTGTTCAGATCAGCTTAACTCTGTTAACACACTGTCTAAACAGCCTGATTATAATATCATTGATGTGAAAAAGAATTCTATAAAAGAATCTCTGTCATCACTGCAGAAGAAGCTGACTGCAGAGAGTTGAGATTCTTTAAAGCTCAGAAACAGCACTGAAGAAGCAGCTGCACAACTCAGTATAGAAGATGAAAGAGAACTCAGATTCTCATAGAGAACTGACACTGAAGATCATGAGCTTCTCATATCATATCTTATAATTATTGAATTGATAAAGAATGAAATAGTCTACAATCTTTCAACTCAACTACTTTTAAAATTTATTAATAAATTATAGAAGAGAAATGTCTCTACTACAGCTCAAATTCAGAAGTTGAAGAAGAAAGAGTCTGATTTAAACTTGAAAGAGACAGACTCTGAGCAGAGCAGTGCTGCTAAGAAACTAAGTCACTGATAACTAGAAGAATATGAACTTCTACTGCTGAATAATTCAGTCTTCATCTCTTATAGCAGAGTGATGTATCAGAAGTTATTAAGAATTCATCATAATAATTCTTATATAGAGCACTTCAGATTAGAGAAGACTAAGAAGCTTCTAAAATATAAATATATTTAAGACAAGCTCTGAGCAGATATCAAAGAGTATGTTGAAACTTGTAATATCTATCAAAGAATAAAGATCTTATAATATAAGTAATATAGTGAGTTGATATCACTGTCTGTTTCAAAGAGCTTATAATAGAATCTATTAATGAATTTCATAGTTGACCTGCTGAAGTCAACAAGAGTCAAAGAATATGACTTAATTTTAGTCATTGTTAACTGCTTTACAAAGATAATCAGATATATCTCTACTTATAAAAAGATTAAAACCTCTGAATTGACTGATCTGTTTTTAGATATCATTATTTATAATCACAGTACTCTGAAATTATTAATAACAGATCAAGAATTCCTCTTCATTAGTAAATACTGATCAGCTTTTTACTATCATCTTATAATAAGATGTCTTCTTAGTATCACATTTCATCTGCAGACTGATGATCAGACTGAATATCAGAATCAGACATTAGAACAGCATCTTTAAGTATTCTATTTATATTATCAGAATGATTGACTTAAACATCTTCTGATCATCAAATTCATATATAATACTGTAAAGAATGCAATCTTAAAGATATCTTCTTTCTATACTTATTATGAATATAATTCTTCATTACTCAGTGATATCATGAATGACATTTCAAAGAGAGAAATAGACAGTCAGAATATCAGACAGATACAGAGAATAAAGTATCTCTCAGTATCAGAAGTAAAAGTGAGATTGAAACTTTTAAATAAAATTTATAAGAAGATGATAAAAAGCATCTACTGCACTCAGAAGTGATAGATGAAATACTATAATTAAAAACATCTTTCAATGAAGTTCTTAATAGAGAATCAAGTACTACTTTCAGCAAAGAATATCAAGATAATAAGATTATATAAGAAGCTCAGTGAGTGATGACTAGAATCTTTCTCAGTAATAAGAGTGATAAGTAAGCAGACATATGAGTTAAAATTACTCACAGAATTAAAATCAATTTATTCTATTTTTCACATTTTCTATTTAAAGCTCTATAAGCAATGTTCTGAGACAGAGCTGTCTTAATCAGATAATATTGAGATCAAGAATAATACTGAATATCTTATAAAGAAAATATTGAATAAGTAAACATATTACAGCAAGCTTCAGTATCTTGTTAAATAAGAAGAATATTCATTGTCAAAGAATTCATGAGAATTACTTAAGTATTTGAAAAATGCTGAGAAAGAGATTGCAAGCTATGAGATAGCTAGTAGAGACTGTCTTATTACACATCAGAGATATTGAATAAGAAATACTACTTAAGACTTCTTATTTTTCTCAAAGAGTTTTTTAGAGATGATCTCACAGTGATAAGCTAGCATCTTATAAGCTCTGTAGCACTCTTCTTCTATTTTCTCTCAAAGAATTTTTTAAAAGTTTAATAAGACTATATAAGTGTAAAATTCCTGAAGTAATTAATAAGAAAAGAAAGAGATATTTAAAATCAATAAAAAGATTAATATTAATTATCTCACAGACTGCTGCTAATCTAATAAGATCACAGTCTGCTGAAAAAATAAAAAGAAAGAATTCTCAGATCTACTTATTAATAATTACACTCTTATCAAACTTATTCTTTATCATTGAAGTCTTCAGTATCAGCATCTTTATCTGCTGAGAAGTTAGTACTGTAGTGCTGCAGAGAAGCATGCTGTAAAAGAGTATAAGAGATGTTTAAAGTATTAACTTATTAATTTACAAAGCATCTCAGTCATCTACTTCAATTGAAGTGAGATTCTCTTTAATCAGTGATTGATTTTTATAGTACTTTCAACAGCAGTATCAGCTGATCTCTTCTTAAAATCAGTTATTTTAAGATATTTTTTCATCTCAGAGATTCATGCTTTTACCTCTTTTTACAGATGAGTAAGAAGAATCTTCTCAGTCTTGATAGAATTCATCAACACTTAAAGCTCTGAGACTCTTACTCTGTACTACTTGAGTATCTAGACTTCTTATCAGAGTTGATATAATATCTTTCTGTGAAGTAATACTTACAGAGAGATAGAAGTTATTATTACAGATATAATAGAAATAATAGAAGTAAGAGAAGAAGTGAGTATATAAAATCTCTTCTTTCTTCAGCTGCTTGATACAGTGTAGATAAGTAGTAGTACTGATCAGAGACTGCACTGAAGCCTTCTTATAGAGAGAAGATAAAGAAACTGCAGGATTCTGCAGACTCAATTCAGCAGTATTCTGAGCAGAGCTCAGGCATGTGAAAGAGGAACTACAGATTGAGCTTCTCAGAGCCACTGTTCCCAGAACCAAGCTCTCCCCAGGTTCCTCTCTGAATGACCACATGAGGTCATACATCACCATATTAGCTGAGAGGAGGGGTGGCGTCGCAACGGCGGTGAGAGGGGCAGAGGATGGACCAGACACAGACACACCAGCTGGCAGAAGGGATGATATCTCACTGCATGATGCGGCTACTACCACCACAGTCACAAGAGATGTAGAAGGAGGAGAAGATGTGGCAATGAAAGTGATGCTCCCGCGGCTCATTGACACTTGTCTTCATCTTCAACCTGGCTTTCTTGACAGTCACAGAGGCCGCAGCCGCATCACAAAGACATTTATTCACTAGAAAATGTCAGAATAAGTCCTTGATTGTTCTTCAAGAATAATACTCTCAGACACTCACTGTTGTAATTGAGAGAAGGAGAAGAAAAATGTTTCATGAGAGAGAGAATCTTTTTAAAAAATCCTGTCACTACTGTTAGCTTTGTCTCTAAAACATATCACTTTTACAGAGAATTTTATATATAGAATGAAATATGATGAAAGATCTATAAGTCACTTATTAACTACATTTTTCACATTTCAAATCAATATATAAGGAACTCACTTATCATGTATTTGATTTGAACAAAGATGAACAAAGAAAGATCTACACAGTCAGTAGAAAAACTCATCTATTTCTTTATATCACATGCAGTATATATACTGTTAATTAGTTGATAATTATTGCTATACAATAAAGATAATTTCTAATTCAGTAATCTTGAGAGTATAGAGACTATGTTCTTAAAGAAGAGAGTATTATTACACTCTCAGCTGTGTCAAGACTCTGTTGCAGTTTCACATAACTCATCACTTTCATACAGATAATTTCATTCATTTCACAGATTATCTGAACCAGTTTTCAATCACTCTATAACATTATTCAGATATATTATAGAAAGATTCAATTGATAAATATAAGAACTCTGCTTCTATATAAGATTAGCAGATTACTCTTTCTTAGTAATGAGACACTGCTGAGATATCACTCTGACTATTCTCACTCATGAAATGAAAGAAGAGTATTCACTCATTATCTATATAGAATAGCTAGATGCTGACTTCTCATTAAAGAAGTCAGTGATTCATTTTTCTTCTACTGAAATATATATAAGAGTTACTGCATGTCTTATACAATCTTCTTAGTATACTAAGTATCATATCTGTGATATTCTCGCAATAACTCTGTAGTCTACAAGCTCACTATTCAAGCAAGATAGTCAAGCTCACTTATACAGCTTCTCAACAACTACCTCTACATGACGCTGCTGACTAGTCACTGCTTTGATTCCGCCACGTTACAGCAGTGACAGAGTTGAAGAAGATGAAGATATGATTATAAGCAGCAGTATCTCTGCTTCATCAGCCAGTAAAAAGTGATTAGAGAAGTCATAAGAACACTTACAAGAAGCTCAACAGCAGTCAGACATTGTTTATAAAGATATTGAAATTGAAAAAATTTTTATTCTTGAGAAGTTCTTGAATTAATATGTAAACATTGTCAGAAATACTCTCTCTCTGTTATCTGAGTGAAAACACTTTACAGATAAATGAGAATACTCACAGTTTATAAAGATAAGAGCTATTATAGAAAAAGAGAAAAGAAGATGAGATTTCACAGACAGATCTGAGATATTTATATCACTCTAAAGAGGTTTACTTACACTGTGAGTGATTCTGCAGAACAGTCAGATCACTCTAGTAAATAAGAGTGATTATGAATCACAGATCTGAATCTTTCTATATAACTATAAAGAGTGATTACAGATCACAGATATCTTGATTCTATAATTCTACAGAGTTAATGAAAGAATGAAAAATTCCTCATAATTCTACAGTGTCAAAGAACAATGATTTATAAGAATAAGTGAAAGATCAACTCATGAATACTTCTCTTTAATAAGAGTAATCTCACAGAGAGTGATTTATCTGTGAGATGAATCTGTGTGATGATCACATAAGAATCTCATGAAAATGATTGAGAGTCAACTGAAATTCTTCTGTATGAAAGATATGAGATGAATCTGTATAATAGTCAGAGAAGAATCTGTAGACTATAAAGAATCTTACAGAATAAGAAACTGAGTGACAGACTCTTTTCTCTTTATAATAACAAGAGATTTTTCCTCACTGAGATTTTTTATAGATGTGAAGAATTTTTAGTAAGTATTACTGCAGTGCTGAGCTGATTCTATGAAGTTACTCAGTGAAAGGCTTCACAGACAAAGTCTTAGAGAGAGAGAGATATATAAGAAATTCTGCTTCTTGCAGATTCTTTACTTCTATTTCTATCTCTTATATAATTAATAGAGCTAGCAGCTCTTGGCTACACACAACTATATAGACTGAAGTTCATGAATACTATTCATAACTCAGCTTGAATGCTATTATACATTTGATTTCTACATTTTATCTTTCTACTGCGAATACTTCTAGTAGTTAACAGTATATATCACACCAAGCTGCAAACACCCGAATAATCGCCTGCGAGCACTTATTCTTACATTTCTACATAATGAGATCTATATTAACTATGAAATACCATGTGAGATTCTAACTGATAACAGTGCAAATCTTGTAGAAGAAGTGATGAGGCATTTCATGAGCCAGTTACAGACAAGATATTGTAGAACAACATTATATTATTTATGAATGAATGAGAAGATGAAATACTTGAATGAAATCTTGAGCAACATGCTGATGAAATATCTAGTAGATAAGCCTATGAGATTATGAGATAAATATCTCAGTCAGATACTATTAGTCACATGAATTCAGTAGTATGCAGTCTTCAAGCATTCACTATTCTATCTGTTGTATGAATTGCATCCGCGCATCCTGGAGAATGCTTCAGAAAAGATGAGGGAGAAAACAGCAGTTACAAACACAGTAGTAGCAGTTGTGAATACAACAGTTGCAGATATGAAACCAAGATTGAAAGAGATCAGTCATGCATGTGCAAAAGCTAATAAATTACTCCTGAACTGAGCAATTCAATTAAAAAGAATACAAGACTCACTAGTTAAGAAATCAAGTCTTAAGATAGAAATATAAGTTCTTATATATAATGAGAGTTCTGAGAAGTTTCAATCTAGGTGATTTGAGTTATATAAAATACTCAAATCATATTCTCTGAGAATGTACACATTGAAAGAATCAGAGAAATGAGTCTTACACAACTTAATAAATAATTCATAACTTATAAAAACAAAGATGCAAGACTCAAGTGAATTATGATTATTCACAGCACTATTATCAGTATTGAAAAACAAGAGACTTACAATTAAAAAGTCTCACAAGATAAGAGAAATCATAGACACTTACAAATCTGATAATCTCACTTATTTCAATCTTTTCACAATTATAAGAAAAGAATGAGAAGTAATGAAGAAATCAGATAAATATCACACTTCAATAAGTGATAAGACTGTAGTCAGTCATATAATAACATGCTGTAGACAGTGAGTATAATACAGTAAAGAGCAGTCTCAAAGTGACAGACTTGCACATGAGTCAGATTATAGAAGAAAAAGAAATTCAGAGTTGAATTTAACTATTTACATCAGTTCAATCACAGAGATCACAGAGAACAAACTATCTGAAATATTCACAAACATGTGAGATTAAGTTATCTCAATCTCTGAAAATACTCAGAGATTGAGTGAGATTAGTTTCAATAAGCTGTTCACTGTAGTAATCTGAGTAGGTGAAGAGAGACAGTATAATATATAAGACAGAATTACAAAAGATAGAAGCTGCTGAATCTAGTCACTGAACACTGTATTATATAGAGATTGTGTAAGAGTAGTAACTAGCAGATAAAGAAAAAGTGTAAGAAAAGAAAAGAGATAATGAATTAATTATCAATTATAAGAGTCAGCTGTAAAAGACAAATGTTATCATACACATCTCATTCATTTTCATACATCATATATTTAATCTATTTTCAATATCACATCACTCAAAAAATGCTAAAAACAAAGAAAATCTCAAAACTTGAGATCTGTAAGAGATTTGAGAGCTGTAAGCTGCTCTTATAATAACACTGTACATGTCTCTGATTTCTCTACTGCTCTGTATACAACATTAATGTCATTTATCACAAGATTGACTGAAATGTCAATATAGAAATGCACATGTGTATGTATAGAGAAATTGAAGAAGAGTACAGAACCTGCAGAACTAGAAGTCAGAGTAGAGAGAGCAGAGATGAAAGAAATAGAAGAAGAAGAAGATGCAGAATTAGATAAATAATAATAGAAGTTATCTGAGACTGAATACTTATAATCTGATGTATATATAATCTTCTCTGCAGAAGAGAGAGAGAAAGCAATAGAAGAAGCTTAAGAGCAGAAGAGAGTAGTCTCAACAGTGTTATTATCTTTGATTAAAATAATCTCTGATATCAGAGTAACTAAGAACTATTGTTAGTATATAAAACTGTAAAAGTAGGGGTAATAATTACTGAATGAATACTCACTGATCTTAGAGTTGTACATGCAATTACAACACACACAAAACTCCTTAGAAAGAGAGAGAGAGACATGAGAAAATGCAGAAAGTAGAATGTAGTATATAAACAGCTCATTTTTATAACAATATCTCAGACAAGATGTATGAGTCTCACACTTATAAGTGTAAAAGAGTACAACATCTGTGTTTCTGTTTCTGAAAACACAGATATCTTTTGCCTGTATCATGAAGTCAGATAATAGATATTAAAGAATAGACTGATACAGATTTATTATTCTGAAGAAATTCATCAGAGTGAATATCTCTACAATGTTGAACTTTACAGTTGTAAAAAGCTTCTTAATATCTGTGAATATCATAACTTCATGCACAGTAAAACTCATAACAATTTTCTCTAAGAATAGAAAAAGAGTTACTTCTGAACTGAGCAATTCAATTGAAAAGATGAAAAGAAAAAGACTTACAATCTCAATACTGTTAAGAAAAGAAGTGATTCTCTGATATAAATGAATAATTGTCTCATTATAAAAATTTAAAATGAATGTAATAATCAGTGTCTGTGACTGAGCTTCAGATAGTCATGTTATATACAGTCTTTATATAATAAATTATTCTGAGAGTCAGTAAGAAGAGTGAGAGTGTATGCACTGAGAAATGTGATTTATTAAGTCTACACAACATCTCCTTGAAACAGGGAGAGCTGATAACAAAAGCAGAGACAGTAAAATCAGAAGTGGCAGAAGTGAGGATTATGAGAACAGAGGTAGCAGGAGCGGGAGAACCAGACACAGAGGCAGGTGTAGAAGATTGAGAGAGAGCAGCAGAGAAAGA